AACCAAAATTTTATCCACGACTGCATTTGCTGATCAAATGGAAACAGGGATAGTCCTTGTGCAATCAGAAAAAACGGAGACAGTTGGGCTATAGAAGGGGAGGAGGGAAGGAGAGTGCGAAGAATAGGGTGAATGGCAGCGAGGAATCAGAAGGGAACAATTGAAAAGAATGGGAAAGTCTGAAGACAAGAACAAAAACCCTACTTATTTGATGTCCATGTCCAAGTAATTGATAGAATATAGACATTTGTTTTAGATGCTATTTTATTTCTTCACAGTTCAGAAAAAAAAAGCCAGAAAGAAAGAGGAAGAAAAAAATGAAACCACTTTTTTTTTTTCAGAAAAAAAAAATAAAGATGGAACTGCTTACGTTTTCCTCTCATTTTACTTTACTTCAAGGGGGAGAAATGCATCAGTTGCTGCATTCTGTCATTAATTCCGACTTTTTTTATCTTGTTCAAAAGTGTTGCTTATTAAATGAATTGATTAATTAATTATTTGTTTCCTTTCTGTTTTATCTGTTCCTCTCTGTTCCTAATTATTTTTTATTACTTAATTATACCTAGCACTTTCTTTTACTTTTTCTTTCTTTTTTTTGCCGTCAGGCGTGTGAAATTGATTGATCCAAAATATTAATTTTTGAAATACAAATATGAAACTTCGTTGTTCCATCCGAAATGATATGCTGCAATTTTTTTCATTAATCTACAGCTGTATTCGCAACAACATTGGAGTACCGTTGTTGTTGCGGTTGACTGGTGCTTGTATGTTCACCGAATTTGCATCCATGCATTTCCACAGCACCTATATTTAATTTAATTTCCAACCTTTTTTGACAAATGTCAAAAAAAAAATCGGTCAACTTAAAATTACTTCTTGTTTTCCTGAAAAAATTCTTTTACCTAAAACCGGTGCGTCGTCACACACTGACGATCGTTGTGATGATACTTGTGCCTGCATATCCTCTAATTCTCGAAGAAATTCATCTTCTTCGTATTCATACCTTAAAACACCACTACTGTATCCACTAAAAACAGCACAGTGTTTTGTAGAAATGACAAAAAAAAAAGTAACAGTCATAAAAAAAAAGTAACAAAAGAAATAAATAAAGTAATAAAAGTGATTTAAATGCAAGAACAGTGTAAGCAGTAATTAACAGTATTGGCACGCAACCGTTTGAACTTTCTATTTTAACAAGCGTTCTTATCATTTTCTATCTTTTTCAGCAGTCTGCAAACCTATTCTAACCACTGTAAGCCGCCGAATCATGAACAATTAAAAACCCCTTATTCCAAACTGCTCTTTACATCCTAACAAAAAAATGATGTCACTTTAATGCAACCGATTTCTTTTGAGTAATATAAAAATCGACAACAGTCTTGCGCCAAACCAAGTAATCGCATAGGCTGACCGGCCAGAACAGTTGCTGATCAAAATCATCAATGTGTTTTTATGTATAAAGTATTGAAAAAAAAAGCTTATTGAAAGAAATAGTAAAAAATAACTTTTGGTTAATCGCCAGCATCAGTATCATAACAATAAAAAGCAACAGTCCCGCTGGAAAAACAGCCAAATTTATCAACAGACAGTGTTCACCAGTAGCAGGGCGAAGTGGAATGAAGAAGGAGCAGAAAAAGATTAGGAAAATAATAAATATAGTTGAAAAAAA